ATGTCAACAGTCCCATACTGTTACTATTTTTTTTATATGCTCAATGCGTGAACGTGCTTGTGTAGTTTCGTTCCGACGACAATTTTCTTTCCACTACCATGAAAACACCGATATACGCAAAATATAAATCCGTTCAGTTTTCCGAGGATCGCAAAGAGAGTGAGGGTTCACATCAATCCAAATAAATATTTTCTATCACTGATAATTCCAATAAGACATATTCATATAAATAATATATATAAAAAATTGTATATTATATATAATATATATTTATCATAAACAGAGCATTTTGAATTTATCATTAAATACTTGTATTCGTTTTTATTCGAACGAATAAATAACAACGTTAAACATAAAATGTCTTTAATAAATAAATTGTCGGACCTTGTCCATTTTTTAATATATATATATGTATATATATATATATATATATATATATATATATATATATATATATATATATATATATATGCATTTTTACATACCGGTAAATGTTAAATACTGTTTATTCTATTTACTCAAATATATATATATATAAAAACATAAAAAATATTAATATATATATATATATATATATATATATATATATATATATATATATATATATATATATATATATATCTTTTATATATATATATATATATATAAATATATATATAAAAATTAACTAAGTTTATTTTTTAGTCTTTATTCTGAGAGCAGAATATCAGGGTGAATATTAAAATAATTAAATTAAGTAAATGGTTCGAAGTTGGATTGCTTTTAACCATTGTAGGTACGTTGCGCGCATACATCAGTCATATATCTCGAGCAGCGGCCGGGTAGCATGGTGGTATCGAAGCAGCTCGTTGGGGCTGCGTGCAGTCCGCAGTCGCATCAAGTCGCCGAATAAGTCAAGCCTTTGTGGGGAATAATGCTATGAGTCAACACACCGTGAGGCATTGGTTTTCAGAAGTTCATGTCGGAAGATCTGTTCAGTGATCGGCCACAGGTCCTGGATGATTAGGACCTGAAGGTGACCATAAAGGAAGACAACAAACCTGTGATGAGCTTTCAGAAGTCTTCCAGGTTTATGATGAAACAGTCAGCTGCACCGCATAGTGAAGGCAAAAAAAAAAAAAAATGAGCAAGTGGCACCCCACGCACTGTCAGAAAATAACAAGTAACAACGAGTGACAACCTGTTTTTCGTTGTTTTGTCGGCACCAAAATTTAACCATATTTGATCGAGTGCTCACAAGTGTCGAAAAGTGGGTCCTTCATGATAAGCCCAAGCGTGCCAGACATTGGTTGTCATCCCTGAACCCATCACATAATCATCTCTAGGCGTACCCAACATCATGCTCTGTATCAGGCGGATTAGTCGACGAGTGGAAAACTATGAACTGCTACAACGGGCCTAAACCATCACTGCAATTTTTTTCCTCGCAGCAATTGGAACGTGTGCATCAGAACTGAAGCAGAAGGAGGCAGCATTGGTTAATCGCAGCATTGGTTAATCCATGACAATTCCAAGTGTCATATGACGCGGTGGTCAAGGATACCATTCAACGACTAGATATACTGCGCCATTTAACTTACTCCAAGGACCTTACGCTAACAGATTGCGACCTCTTCCATTCCTTGGACAACCACTTTCGTGAGAAATCATTCGCAAATGAGGCAAACTCACAGCCGGTACTCACAAACTTCTCTAAGTCCAAGACAGCCGATTTTTACTGCCTGGAGGCACATTGTTAAAATGTTCTGGATACCGAAGGGGATTACGTTGACGACAGATGGTATGTCACTTTTGTTGTGCAACATTGTTTCTAATAAATAAAAAAAGTATAAAAGGGGTATCATGTACTTTCTTTTAAAAATAATTATTTAAATTTAAATAAATTAATGTCTTGTGTAATTTTTTTTCAAATTTTAAAAAAGAATACAAGATTTATCTATATATTATTGGTACTCCTCTTGAGGACAACATTGCTAAAGTCCTTGCTGAATCTGCCAACTTTTTCAGTTTCAAACTGAATTCGTGAACCTTTTTAAACGGAATTGTATTGTTGTTCTATCTCAAGAGGTTTTTTGACAGTTTCAAGTATGTAAATAATTGAGCTTTTTGTGAAAAATATATAAGCTTCTAAGAGGCTAACATTTTAATTTTAATTTTTGATCTGGTTATCTTGCCTTAATACTAATAAAGCGCACAAAAGAAAAAGTATTCAAACTTCTTTGTAGATTTTGTTTAGTTTTTTTAGTTTTTTTTTTAATAAATGTAAATATCGTTCAAATTTCAGTGCGGAGTTTCGAATATTTTTACTTCGCGCCTTATGAATAAACCGGATAAGAGAAAGGACGATCACTTTTCTCCCACTCACCCTGTTAAAAAAAGTATTTTAATATACACTGATAAAAATAGTTTTGTCTAAATTAAGCAAAAGTGAAGTACACAAAAATATCTTAAAATACGAAAGTGTAATTGTATTCAATAAAATCCATACGAATTCGGAATCTTCTACAACTCCTCTGGGTGGACTCCTTGTTTAAGTTGGTGAATGCTGCCATAATCCTTACCTTCAGTTCGTCTTTGTGTTACAACGAGTGTTGTTGTTGTCTCTCTCAAATGCGCCCCACATCATCATCATCATCAAAGGGGGTTGCATTCTGGGGAGTTAGTGGTCCAGATGTAAGTTGTGATGTAGCCGTAGAAAGTCAAAAGCAAACAACGCGCATGTTGGGAATTTAAAGTGGCGACAATTTACCCATTGCACACACACACTACATAGATAGATAGATAGATAAAGCGAGAGCGAGAAAGAGAGAGAATTAATACGAGTAAAAGGCTTGAGTGATGTTACCTTTCGCATTCCAACTTCAGATTTTCATAGACAGAACCTCATGGAATCACTTCGTCCACTCATCAAGGTGTATCTGCTTATATTTATCTACTTTTCTGGTTTATATGCACTTTACATTGATGCAATTTTTTTCATAGTGTATGCGTGCGTGTGTGCTTTTGTATCGGCGTACATGTAGAATATCGAGGTTACTGGTCATTTTTGTAGGTTTTCACTTTACACTCACTCATTAGCCTTTTCCCAATTTTGCCTCTATTCTTTCAATTGTAGCAATTTTGACTTCTGTTTTTCTAGACATACATACACGCACAAACACATACACATACACAGACACACACACATATATATATACATATATGTAAAAGAACGAAAAGAATATAAATTCAAACGTTCATAACATTAATTTAAAAAAGGGCTCAATGCAAGAGTTGAGCGATTGTTATTTCTTCTAAACTGTTACATTGGGACATACAAGTTACCACAACAAAATGCCTATTTGTTTCGATGTCTAATTTAAACATGTCATCAGATGGTTAGTATGTTAACCATCTGATGAGATGTGTCAATGTAACAGTTTATAATATATATATATATATATATATATATATATATATATATATATATATAAGATGTATTTTGGTGACAATTATTCAACCAGACAAGTTTGATTAAAAGAACAAGGTCTTTTCTGTTTATTATTTGTTCTGTTTTTCCATTATTCTTACAATCTACTGTATATTGGAGGGGGTAGTTATCGATACATTATCTGAAGATTATGATCGTGTTATTTGCTCAAATAATTTTACAGTGGTAGTTATGATCTTAGCGATCACAACAATCATCTCAAGACGATCAGAGATTAGTTTGCAAGGAACATAGATCCAACACCAATACTGATGATGTGGTTTCTTATAGTCAATGCCTGTAAAACCAGAAGAGCTATATAGGCGATGCCTCCAGAAATCTAAAATCTCGCGTCTACGAACATAAAAGGGACCTGTGTTTGAACAACCATTTGAATTGGCTCGTAACTCACAGAAATATAAGAGGCCCCAACTTCGATTTAATAAATGGCACCTCATAAGAAAAGAACATTAATTTATTACGTAGAATAGTATAAATACTTAGAAAGAATCCTCATAAATATTTTCCCATGAACAAATACACGCTAAAACACACTTTATTTTTATGACACCGTTTATAAAATTCTTACTTATGTAAGATCAGACAACACACAACCACAACAGGTGTAACGTAAATTATTTCACTCCGACACAAAATATGTTCCAATCTATATACGTACACTATCAAATGACATGCCCACTACACATGCACATTATCAATCCAACTCCATATAGACCTACTAGAAGTATAATTCAGATACACACAATAATTATACACACAAACGCTACTAGACAAGACAAATTAACGTGAGGTGTACTTCATCAATGTAAAGCTAAAACGAAAATGAAAAATTATAAGAATTTTATTTTCTCTTCCATATTGTATTTCTGATGAAGCTTTAAAAAAGCGAAACGATAAATTTATAAACCTTTCCTATTTATTTGTTCCTTTATCTATCATTCTGTAAGATTCTAAGCCATATTTGATCACAAATTCACTCCGACACACACACACACACACACACACACACATATATATATATATATATATATATATATTACTTTAGTAAGCTTACTTAAAATGTAAAAACATAGTAAACTAACTTTCAAATAAAAATGGACTTTCGAAAAATGTACAAATCAATTAAATATATACTTATCAAATAAGTAGCAAATTTATTTTATGACATTATATAAATACCCCAAGGCCGGCTGCTTCCACAAACAAGTCAATAAATTTAACCTTAGACAGTGCCAAACGTTTCTAGCGATTTTTCTAATATTCAGTGTGAAAAGTATGCCTTCCATAATGAAAAAAAAGATCATTTCTATCTTACGTCCGAAGGCATGCTTTCAACCTCGATATTAACTTCATTACAGTGACAAAATGACTTTAAGCTAGGCCATTTATTCACCGCTGTCTAAACATGGCTGTGTGAAGTTTTTTTTTGTTTTCTTTTGTTTTTTATGTATTTCTCAGTGCAAACCAATTTGAAAAGTAAATGAAATAAAATCGGGAAAAACGGTGGGAAATGTTGCCATTTTTTGGTTCCTCTTCTTCATTATATCCAAGTCGTTCTTTCTTTCTTGACTGTCTTTGCGAAAATTACCGTTATCACAGCCTGAGGTAGCCATCAAGTCTCTTTCTCAGTTTTGTGCGTCGGCGCTCAAAATCGAATTTGCTTGCACAGGAAAATGTTATTAACGAAAGCAATTAACAATTTGTAATGACGTCAGGCCTTATCAAGTGGCTTAAAGTATCATTCGCCATTGCAATCGTTGTTTTTATTCTCAGGGTTTTATTCTTTTATTTGCTTTGCTTTTCCTCTTTTTATCCTTCTGTTCTATGCAAAACTGCGGTTTATGTTTCATGAGTTTTCTCCTTCGCCTACACCTTTTCTTTCTTTCTTTGTGTTTTTTTTTCAATTCTGTTGTTTACAAGGCATATAATTTTACGTCTTTCTAATGCACTTGAAAAATACTTTTCCTGAGAAATATAATCGAATTGATTATATAAATATATATAGGGTTTTAAATTAGCTATTTTTATAGGAAATGTGTTCTCAGTATTAAATAGAGAGCGTTTATCGATTAAGTGTGAACATGAGGGAATATAAGGTTTATAAATATAGTAAGGTAACAGGAGTCAATATAGGTTCATCAAAATGATTTGCGATGAATTCCTCTGTCCACACTATCTAGTAAACACATATTATGAAATGTTCAATTTATCTTCCCGACTCAGAATTTTGAAGAAATCTTATGCGTTAGTTGATAAAACATCAAAATTATTTTTATATCTACCTCCATCTTTTAAAAGAATTATTTAATTATCTGAAAAAAAAAAATTACAATGTAACCCATTGAAGAACGGTTACAATTTCTGTAAAACTCCGATGTGTTAAGATCGATTAAATTTCATTTTGGTTATATTTTATGTAGTTTTTTTTTTTTTTTAAATATGAAGCACTTCCTTTAGAAAACTGCTCGCCTTAAAAGCGTTAACCTCCGGAAAATCGCTGACCGACAGTTTTTGCATTTGTTTTTTGTTGAAAAATATAATTATCTATCTATCTATCTATCTATCTATCTATCTATCTATCTATCTATCAATCGGCTGATCTATCTACCTAGAATTAATACAAGTATCAAGTCGATCACTTTGCTGATGGGTGTTACCTTCATCATCCCGACTTCAGAGATTCGTAGACTAGCCCTCTAGTAATCACTCCATCCACTCGTTAGGGGATATCAGCCATTGACTACACTATTGACTATACTATATATATATATATATATATATATATATATATATATATTATATATATATATTTGATTGGTTTTGATTTTCTTTCCTTTGATAGTGTGTGCGCCCGCATGTACGTGCGCACGCGCGTGGACGCGCATGCGTGCGTTGGCGCGATAATGCATCCCTCTGCGCGTATGTCGTGGTTATTTCTCCTTTCCTTTGTATTTCTTTCACTTTTCACTCACTCTTATCATTTTTTTTTTTTTTGTATTTCAATGTTTTTCTCTTTCTTTCAATTATAGAGATCTGGTTTATGAATAAACTTTAAGAAAAAAAAAGTAGATGTAAATTTCGCAGGTCAGCAAAGATCAACTTCGTTTGAACATTTTTTTGCGTAATGGTAAAATTCTTTTCGAATGAAGTATCTTAAACAAGTTCAAATCAAGAAAACCTTTTCTAATATAAAATTGATTATTACTGTGTTGATGGTCTTCGGAAATCTTCGGCACAATGATAATTTTGTGCAACTAATTGAATTTAATTAATTTATTTTAATGCAATATAATTTAATTTTAATTTTAATCTTAATCTCAGTCTTAATTTAAACTGTAATCTTGACTTATTAAGATTGATTGCGTAAAACACCATATTGACCTTTTGTTATATACAGGGTGGTCCTAAAGTCTCGTCACCCCCTCCCCAAAGTAATGTGAACAACAGAAGAATACAATCACACAACCCACATGTAGTGGATTCAGTTTATTCACATTCACTGACGCTGTCATTCATCGAGATGGTCTGTATGAACACCATTATTTTCGTACCAGGCATCTGAAATAGAAAATTATATTATAAAGGGATGACAAGATTTTCAGACCACTATTTATACATATGAGATTTAATGTAGATTGCAAAATAAAGATTTTATATTGCAAACAAACATCGAACAATCACTTCTTTTTTCTTCTTTACATTTGAATTGTATTATTTTCTCCATTGTTTGGCCCATGTTAAGGAAACCATCTTCTTTTCTTCTTCTTTTGCAAATTTATTCAGCATCCAAATAGTATCTAATAAAAAAAATGTGCAAGATGTCGCAGAAAGATGTTGGAAAAAGAATCCTAGCGCACTAAGAAAATTTCAAGAAAAAATGACAGATAGTTTTCTTAATGGAAGCAAATGAAATCGAGTAACCGAGTTCAAATACTATTTTCATACTCGTTAATACCTTTACAAAAAATCATTGCTGAAATATTTATCTTTCTAAATTAATTAATTTTTAATTAATTTTAATTGTTATTTAATTAATTTTAATTTAATTTTAATTGTTTTTTAAATAATTTTAATTTCTATTGATTTAATTAATTTTAATTGATTTTTAGTTTAAATTAATTAATTTTTAATTAAACTAATGTAGCACATCGCTAGAAACACGAGCATCCAGTAAGGTCCGAATTCACTCCTGAGCAGTAATAACCACCAGACTAGAATGCTGCGACGTCTCCTGCTGTTAAATTAATTTTTTTATCCCGTGACCTGTAGGATCGTAGGGGCATCATGTGTACTGCAACCGCAGTAGAAGTGGTGTTTCTCGGGTAAAATAGCCTGACGGAGCCCAACACTCTCCAGGCAGATTTGAATTCAGTTTTTCTTCTCCTAGACCGGTTGCCACACAAGGCTATAGAACCTAGAAAAGAAGAGGATTTCCCAAGTGTATTAGCACATAAGCGAATGTAATGGTTCCGATTCCTCAATCCGAGGTACTAGTCATTATTCCAACGTACCTCCTCTTTCTGTTAATACCATGTAACATATAAAAAAAACTCTTGCATTTATTCGGAAAAGTCATGGACGCTACAAAAACGCTTGTAACGATAATTACACATGCTTTCTGGTTATTCGTGTTTAGCGGGCAATAAAAAATAATTCATGGCTTTCGGCATTTCTTATTGCTCTGCGTGTATGTTTCTATGTGTGTTAGATTGTATTATGTATTGCTTTTATTTTATGAGTAGTCGTTTCAATTCGGCTCCCTCCGCAAAGACTTTCCCTCGATAAATATAACATTTCCCTGTATGGACTTTTCTATATGACGAGCGAGATCTCTCGAAGTTTCAGGTGTGTTATCAAATCATCTATCCATTAATTTTTGCGTCTACTGTTCATTCGCCTTTCGCCTTTGTCTTTTCAGTCTCTCTCTCTCTCTCTCTCTCTCCCTCTCTCTCTCTCTCTCTCTTATCTCTTACAATCATAGTTATCTTTTCATGTTTTAGCTTAATATCACAGATAGGGATTCATATACGAAGAAAATAAGAAACGAAAAAAATACCCCCCCGCCCGAAAATTTTTATTCACCTCTATTTGTCCGCAAAGAGTTCTCAGCATCCTTTTGTAGAACCACATCTCTCTTGCTTCAAGCGTCTTCATCTTCTGTAAGGAGATTGTACATCAGCCATCGCCATTACAGCAATTATGTTTATGTTTCTAACGAAATTATCCTGTTTCTTAATACTTTGCTTAGCTTTTGGAAGGCATCTTTCGTTATGAAAATTCGCCTTCATACTTGTTTGATTTTCGTATCTCCAATTCAAAGTCCATATGTTGGGATGTTTCCACTTGCTGAAAATCATACGTTCATTTCTTTTCGATTTCGTTTATGCGTTCCTGCAGTTTTTTTTTTGTTTTTTTTTTTTTTGTTTTTTTTTTGCTCCTGCTATTGCAATTTGCATATATTTTGCTAGAATAATGTCCGCCAATAAGATTTTAGACCTGGTAGGACTTCTAGTTCAAACTAAGTATTGTCTCGCTGTAAAGGCTGAACAAATTTGGCGTAAAAACACATGTAACCTCGAACACCGGATATACACTGGCTAGTATGTAGACGGTCCGATGGATAAATTGTCGTGTGAATTAGACCAAAATGAAAATAACTCCGACATCTTATATTAACAGATCTATTCACCAAAATTACACAAAAAATAACTTGAAATATTAAAGAGTAAATTTATTGAATAAATTCGCCATTGGCTTCAACTACAGCCTCCAGACTACTTCACAATCTGCCGTAAATCTTTTGGACGATTTTCTTGTTTAAGTTCTTGAATGTTATCATAATCCTTGCCTTCTGTTCATCTTTGATGTTATAAGTGTTTTCTTTTTCTTGGTTCTTCGATCAACTGCCCTCTACATATAATAATCAAGGAGATTGCAATCTGGGGATTTAAGTAGCCAAATTCAAGGTGTGGTGTGGTCGCAAAAATTCTTTGACAGCCATGACTGTGTTCTCCTGCTTGTGTGACATGGTGCAGAGTCCTGTTTCCATACATAGTTTCTTCCAGCAGCCACCCTCTTTGCCTAGGGTAAGACTACATCATCAAAGAACTTAATGTAGGCTTGCGTGTTGAGTCTGAGGCCCTCACCAAACAAATTCGGGAGTTCTTTTCTTACCAGAACGATCAGAGTGAGGTTTCCAAGCGGCGGTACCTTCGTAAACGTCATTAGACCTCATCCAACTCTTTCAGAATCCTCTGCACGGTCCCCAGATTGATACCCAGACACTCTGAAATGTTTGTATTGGAGCTTCCGGTGTGAATGCCAAACAGTACAGTATGTCGTTTCTAAATTTCCGGCGGATTGAATGGTGGCATGGTGATCTTTGTCTTACAGTGTCTAACTGACCCTACTATACTGGTCATTCGACAAAATCAAAAGCAAGGCAACACGCAATGTACCCCTCGCATCCTGTACTCTGATTTGTTACACTGGGAATCAGGCAAAAGAAGTAACGACCGTAAACGCCTTCAATAGGAATAACTCATATTCTTTAAGCATTGATTCTTATTGCTTGTATTTAGTGCCTGTAAATGAGGCTTCAAATGTCATTGTATTTAATTTGTCAGTGGGTCAGTTTACGTTTCCCTTCTTTTGAAGGGTAAGTGTATATTTAGGTAAGATACTTACTAATGCAAATTGACATCTGTTAGCCCGTCAGGTTTGTGTTCATGTACCGACATATTTGCGCGGAGTAAAGGGTCTATGGGGAGTTGAAATGAACTAGTCTTCATGCAACTCCATGAAAGATAATTAGAAATCTCCACCCCACCGCATAGCACATAAATGCTACTCTAGCGGGTAAACGACGAGGTATAAACGCATTATACATGCACATATATGCATCAGTATACTCGAGTATACTATATATATATATATATATATATATTAATGTATATTTCATTAAATAATAGAGACAAGTTTTGTCTATTTATTTTAAGTAAATTCCTTTCATATTGTCGAATAAGCTTTTTAGCATTATCTCTGAAACACGAAAGAAAATCACTATGCTGATACATGTTTTTATTGCTAATCCTGTCTAACCTTTCGACTTACATAAGCCATCATCAGAGATTACAAGTACATTACAATAAATTAAATAAATTATATAACAAAGATGGTAATTACTTAAAATAAATAGACAAAACCTGTCTATATTATTTAATGAAACATGCATTAATATATATGTGTGTCTGTCTGTGTGTCTGTGCATGTTTTTTCCTGTTTGTGCGTATCTCAGAATATAATGAAGCCCAATTAAAATACGTTATAAATACGTTTAATATAAATACGTTAAAAATAGGTTATAAATATGTTGCTGTTTCGCAACGAGGCTTTCAACAAATAAACGATATATATATATATATATATATATATATATATATATATATATATATATATATATTAATTGTGTGTATTTAGGCAGCATTTTTTCATTAATACATGTTTCATTAAATAATATAGAAATGTTTTGTCTATTTATTTTAAGTAAATTCCTTTCATATTGTCGAATAAGCTTTTTAGCATTATCACTGAAACAGGAAAGAAAATGTTGATACATGTTTTTTTATTGTTAATCTTGTCTAAGATTTCGACTTACATAAGCCATCATCAGAGATTACAAGTATATTACAATAAATTCAATAATTATAAAAACAAAGAAGATGGTAATTTTTGTTTTAGAATAGCTATGCGCACATTGCAACAATGATAGTTTGTTTTGTTTGCATGTATACTTTTATCGGTTTATAGATAGATAACATACGATGCGATAACCATTTTTTTTATGTTGATTATGAGAACAAATGTATTTATAGGATGAACTATTATAACAAACCAATGTTGCTGAGATATTTCAATCATATCGCAGTAAATGTTGGAAACCTTCCTCACAGAGGAGGAAAGATTTGAGACAGGAGATATTGTTTTGCTGAGAATTCCATAGAGCGAACATGTAAGCATTAGGGAAGTTTTATGAGAAAAAAAGACAACTTATCCTTGATTTGAACGTTCTCTGTTCCACCATGCTTCTGTTAGCCGTACTTTTGTTCATTTTTAATGAAAAAGGTTGTACATTCCGACGTTCTTTACTACTATACAAGATGACAGATAAAGACAGGAATTTATTGTAAGCCTTCTTTCCACATAACCGTTTTGTGGATTTTCCAACCATCACTTATTGTTTATGTACCACGATAAAAAGCGTCATGATTAAAAACTAGATTTATCGCAACGTGAAAACAATAAAAAGAATATATATTTACTCCATGAAGCCAATTTTTGCATCGAGCCTTCTAGATGAATATTCTCGATATGAGCCTAACGTGAATTCACGCTAACAATTCAACACTTTCTGGTAGCAGTTTTAAGAAAGGAAAGATGTTTAGAAAAGAATTAGGCTATATTTTAGAGAAATGAATAAAGCTTTTATCTCTCATTCTATTACTAATATTGAATGTTAGAATCCAACTGCAAAGCTTAGTAAACAATGGGTCTTTCGTCTTAGAGCCATCAACAACAACCTATTGATGAAAATTACGATACCGATTGATCCATATTGGGAGACCGCGCAACTACAGGCTCGTGATGAGCTTAGTAAATAGCAATATACTAATGGTATTATTGGCCGTTTCCTTATAAGGAAACATTTAATATTTATTAACCGAGCAGAAAGTACTTCTGTTTGATAATATTTATAATTATTTTTGTCTTAAGATAAGTTATCACTAAAATAAGTTTCTCAGATCTTGTAGCTGTTATCGCTCTTTTCTGTATTGAGGGGGATTTTAAAGTTGTGTGGAATGTCAATAGCATGATTATGTCAATATTTTCTCTTTTAGACGTTGGTATTCTTGAAAGTGGAGTAATGGATAGCGGCTCGGATTGAGTAATCGGAGAGCCGAGTTCGAATTCCAGTCGAATCCATTACATTCACTTATGTGCTAATATCCTT